AAATCTTTTATAAAAGGCAGCAAGAATGCTTGTCCTTTGCCCAGAGGAGACAGTACCTATATTTCAAGGGGCAGTCAGTGCCTCATAGTAGTACTTCCACAGACCCTTGGGAAATTGTCTCCTAAAAATGGATCTGGGCTGAAAATTTTGCTTAATAAAGACTTTATTCATAATGCAAACTAATAATGTAAACAAGATCACAAGAGGGAATCTTTAAAGTACTTGAGAGAGCCAAGTTTAAATTAAAATACTTTTGGAGCATCTTATAATGTACAATTTAAGAAACTTCCAAAATTTTACATTATTGAAAATAAGTTAGGGACTTTTACTTAGGATGACTTTGCCGTTATACTGCATGGTTTTGAAGCTAATACAACTTTACATTGAAAATATTCTGAATTTAAAACTCTTAAGTAATTCATACTGTCTTTTCTCTTTTTAATCCATACAAGATTTTAATCTGGTTCAGGCCATGAAAAAGTTTAGATGTGAAATGTGGGTTTCTTTTGTAAGTTAAAAAAAGTTTCTTATTATTTACACCAAACCGAAATGGACCATTCTGAGAGAATCACCATCTCCAATTTCCTGAAAGTAAACAAAAATAATTAAAACCATGTTTAAGCAGACAGTAAAAAATAATTGACTTTTAATCTTTAGTATTTTTGATTTAAATATTTAAAAACAGACAAAATAAAATAGTTTAAAATGCACTGTATATATATAAACAGGAGAATTGTGTATTTATCTTACTCTTAAAATGTTGATACAGTGTTCATAAAATCAGTGAAGAGAAACAATATATGAAGCATTAAAAGGCAAAGAAGGAATGACAGGCTGTTAGTTCAAATGTGGAAGCATCTGAAGGCTCCTACAATGAATAGTTGCAAACTGTAGGTCATCATTTATGATTCCAGCCATTTTATTTTATAATACTATATATTCTAAAAGTTCTCGTGCAGCATATATTTCTTTATTTTGGGGTTTTACTAAATATTTGATAGTAGCTCTTGAGGTAATGATTCATAGAAAAGACCATGGTTTTATTAGCTCTTTATACATTTTATGAAACTGCAAAGAGATACTAATAAAAACCCTATCTACTTCCCATTTCTTATTTTTTTTTCATACCTCCACCACCTGCCCACCCCTACCCTAACCCCATCAAATATAGAAAAACAAGGGATTGTATGATAGGATTCTGAAATTGGAAGATGTTTAAACATAAGACTAAAGATGAGTGATATTATTTGAAAAATAATACAGTGTGGACATTTTTGAAAGTTTCAAGACAACCTACTTATAATTGAAATAGTAAAGGGCTTGAAAAGAAAAGAGAGTGAGGATAAGCCAACATCACAATTGGAGATATTTCTCTTGCTTAAAAAGTTTGTTTTAAAGTTATCCCTTAAGTTATATCTTGGAAGTTCTTTTTACTAAGAGACTTTCAGAAAGTCATTGCATTATAATGTTTAAAGTTGTCAAATCTCAAAGAAAACAGGTATAGGGCTGGCAAGTGAGGGAATCATATATGTATGCATGTACCTGTGAATCCCAATGTATACAAAATTAAAAAATGAAAACCAACCTGGAAAAACAGGTAACAAGAAGATGAGTAATTTTAAATTGCCTGGGGCTTGCATGTGTGCTGGCAAGTTCATAGCTTTTAGGTAGCTTTCAATTTAAAAACAAGAAAACATTGAAAGCACTGACATCTAAAAAAATGTAAGTTCCAACTCTTGGTTTATATGTTACTATATCAAAGTCTATTTTCTACACCACTAGAATGGTCATTAAGAAACTTGGAGTTAGCTTTTGGTCCTGTTTACTAACTGGCAGAAATCCTAGGTAAATTGTTTTATTTTCCTAATATCTGGATATAATTGTTGCTGGAAAGCCAGACTTTGCATACCTAAAATGTATCATCTGGTTCAGCTATATTCTTTATGTTCTTTAGTGTCTTATGTTAGTAATTGCATTTTAAAAAGAAGAAATCATAGAATTCTCAAGGACCTTCCAGGACTTAAAATTTTTTTTAAATTTCCTTTAAAATCCATCCTATTTTTAAAAGTCTTGCTTCAGGGCATTTTCAAGGTTTCCATGCTAGCATGCTCTATGCTAAATAACCTTGACTTACACCCCTATTTACCATAGAAGAATATTTTGATGATTAATGAAGTAATATATTTTGTATACTGTTATTTAATCATTATTGAAAATAAAATGTAATTGTTAAATAAAATTTGAAATACAGAAAAGTAAAAAATTTACCTGTAGTTCCACCAGTCACGTAAAACTATGGTTTAATTATGTATTTGCTTCTAGTCTCTTTTTTCCACATATATGTTGTATTTTTTTAAACACAGCTGAAACCATATTTTTTGAGTCTCATGCTCTACTGACTGAGCTAGCTGGGTAGCAATGAAATCATTTTGTTTATACAATTCTATATAGTTTTTATGTTTGGGGATTTTTGGCCCTACTTTAAACACTCTTCAGTTCTATATATCTTTATTTCTAGTGGCTAAATTTTATTCCATTAAGTACTGTAGTTTTACTTAACCATTTTTATTTTGCGGGGTGGGTTAATTTATATTGTTCCTATGTTTTTTTCTCTTTTTATAAATAACTATGATAGGCATTCTTAGGCATGAAATTGTTTTGTGTTTTGGATATTTCCTTGGTGTAGAGCTGTAGAAATAGAATTATTGGACCAAAGCTTCTCAAATTTTAGGCCTTTGGATAAGCACTGCAGAATTGATAGTTTTGTTTGTTTTTTTCCCAGTTTGGGAGGAGGTGATTTTGTTGATAGCAGGAAGCTATAGTTTCAACAGAGGCTGATTTTCATTATATTATGTACTAAAATTGTGCTCACCCTTGACTGAATGGCTATATGCTGATTCTTGTAATAATTTACTGCAAAAGAGGGTTTTCCCCAGTCCCTCATTTAATTTTGACATATAGTGAAGTGCATTTTCTGAGCCAAACCCTATTTCTATTACCTAATGATCACTGATACCAGGTCACTTTCTTTTAAATGTACAAATCCTTTCATAAACAAATTCTGTAGACAAGTTAAACTTGGCTAAAAACTGCATTGTGACCTGTTCACTTAATTGAGATATATTTTAAAAAATATACTAAGTGATCATTTCATTATTTCATGTTAGGTTTCCCCTGTGGTGTCTCACATTTCTGATTTGGTTTAACAACAGTTAAGTCCCAAAGTATATCATTTTAGAGATAGAAGAAACCTTAAAAGTTTCCAAATCTGAAATACTTTCATTTTACAGATGAGAAAACCAAGGCTTATTTGGGTTAAGTGTTCTGTCCATAGTCACTCAATCAGTGGCACAGCTGGGATTAGAACTTAGTTCTTATTTCTGTGAAATGCTTTTTCGACTACGGTTTTTTTCACATAGTAACAAATAACATGTGTTCCACAGGCTGCTTTCTGATTAACTCCTTTGATTGCCTATTCCTGTCATTTAATGCTCTTATTTACAGGCATGGGAGTAGCCCGCACTTGTGTGACAGGAGATGCTTTCTTGAGTAAGTTGTCCAGTTACTCAAGTTTCTCTTTTGAATATTAACTCCGCCTCTTGCATATTTGGTATCATATAGGGATTCCTTTTTAATCAAGATTCCAGAGTTGTGGTGCCTGATGTTCTTTCTAGAAAATAAAATTTAAAACTGTTTACAGTCTAGCACTCACCAAAGGTTGGCGTGAGGCTTCTAGTATTTATGAGACAGGGTAATAGATGAGCTAACGGTCTAACTTTCCAACTTCCTCTGTGTTAAGTACAACATCAGAAAAGAATGTGCTTTGAACACATCATCTTAATTTTATATTCTACCTGAATTCAGTTTAAATATGAATTCAGGTTAAATATAACACCCTCAGCTTTATAGAAGACTTATTATAAAACATCTATGTGAATAGGATTTCTGTCTTTTTCAAAACCCTATGTGAAGACACGCTTAGTTTCTTTTTCTGTTTTCTAACACAGGCATTCTTGAATGTGAATCCAGTTTTGGAGAGATGTTTCTATTCAGATGAGTTTACCATTTGCATACTTTAAAGAATTAAGTCAGTAAGTACAATAATAATGAAAACTATGTTTTGGAATTTACAAAATGCCTTCACATTACCTAATTTGACAGAAGACTCCTATGATGTTACTAAGTATAGTTATTCCCACTTTATAGCTTAGGACATAAGAATATAAAGAGGTGCGTGGCAGTGAAGAAGTAGTAGAATAAAACTGGAACTGAGATCTTTTGCCTATGAATCCTGTATTCTTTCTGTCACACGATGATGCCTTCCAAAGTAAATCTATTTCTCTTTTTTGCCTTAGCCTTTCCAAAATTCAGAGCTAAACTCAGTTTTAATTTGTATAAAACAGCCTAGATATTTAATGACACCTCTTAAATCTGCAACTCTTCATTGACTTTTGCTTTATGTAATTTTAATTTAGATATTATATATAAAATACTTTTGTGAATTACCCCATCTTTCATAAAATAGAAAGGTCATAAATATTAAGATAAATTGGTTCATATCTATGAAGAATAATCACTGTATTATAGCTGTGTTGACACTTTTGTTTTTTACTGAATGGTTTATCTAACTGTCCTATTTGTGAATATGCTGATACTGACTCTCCTGTTGAGGGGATATTTTACCACTGATTCTATCTCAACAAATATTTGGAGACGGTGTCATCCATCAAGAAGATTAATAAACTTTATGATAGTATTAATGAATACAAAAATTGCTACTTTTATCACACTTTTAGAAATCACATACTTACACTTCATTTATATAAGGTGTTATTTAATAATGTGGGTAATTGTCAGTATGTAAACATTGGGGATATATACATGTATATATACTTATATGTACATACACATATATATTCTCTATCTGCACTACTCTCTCCTGGCTGGGCTCAACCCTCCTGGATGATAGTAAGAATAGAGCAATATAAGCAACCAAGTGCTTTATCTGTCATAATTCCACATCAAAAGAATGAGTTTCTAATGTTTCCAAGTTCAAGATTTCTTCTAGACAGTATTCCAATGAGTAGTACAGGCAAGACAATATGGATATAGAACTACATTATTTATTCCTCACTTGTCTATGACTAGAGTCAGTGGTAGGAAGCAAGAGGTATGCTCCTAGGAACTCATTCCAATATGCAAAGTACAACTTAGCCTCTTTAAAATTTAACTATTAAAGTTAATTGGAGAACTCAGATTTTTTCCCTGCAGCTTTTGTCGTTAGCAGAAACCCACCCCAAACTCGTCCCTAGAGCTGGCTAGACCTCTAGTGGTTTTATTTCTTTTTCCTTTAATTACTTTTTTATTGTGGTGAAATAATACATAACAAAATTTACTATTTTAACTATTCATGCATTTTCTAATTCATTTTTTCTTCATTGTGGCTGACTCTTAAAATGTGTTTGAAATTGTTTTTCAAAATAGTTCTGGGGAAAATGAGCAAGAATCTTCTTAAAGTGGATAACATCCATCAGAGAGCAGACTACTAAATTGTAGAGCAACTGAGTTTAATAAGATCACTGTGA